GGCGGTTTGAACCCCCAGGGGTTCGGGAAAGAAGAGGCCCCCCCTTTTTTTTAAAGGGTGTTTTTACACCCCCCCCCCGGGCAAATAGGGACCCCCCCTGTTTTTTCAAGGTGTTATTCAAAGGACACGCCCTTTTCCGGGGGGTTACAGGCCGGGTAACCGAAGGGTTCCCCCCCCCCCCCCCTTTTTTTCTTTCCATAGCCCCCCCCCCCCCCCCCTCCGCTGTGAAACAGTGAGGTGTGGTCGCTACTCGCCAGGAGCGTGCTGTACGGACGCGGCCCCGCGCGGTGAAGATACGCCGCCGTGAATGCAACGGGTAGGAGTACCGCGACCACAGCGGAGCACGCCTCCTCTCGAGTGCTAGATATGGGGGAGATATGGGGGAGATATGGGGGAGATATGGGGGAGATATGGGGGAGATATGGGGGAGATATGGGGAGGTGTGTCCTCTCGAGCGCTGGTTGGGAGACATGACTCCGTATTCCGCGACTACGCGGCTCGCCGAGTCCATCGCCGCGGTCGGCAGGGTCGGCGAGGCCCCCCTCCAACGCCTATGGCCGAGATATGGCCGAGGTATGGCCGAGATATGGCCGAGGTATGGCCGAGAGACGGCCGAGAGACGTTCCCCGCGGCAGCCCGGCACATCTCGGCTCCCTCTCGGCTCCTTCTCGGCTCCCTCTCGGCTCCATCTCCACCGTTTCGCGCGGCAGCTCGGAGCAATCTCGGAGCAATCTCGGGAGATCTCGGAGCAATCTCGGGAGATCTCGCCGTTTCCCGCGGCAGCTCGGAGCAGGCGCCGCACACCACCCTCAGGCAAGTGCGGCAGTGGTGGCGGCGGAGGAGGAGGGAGAAGAGGCGGCGGCACTCGGGGCAGGCGGCCACGGCGTCGTCCCGCTGCCAGCTGCGGCAGTGGTGGGCGGGTGGCGGCGAGTGGAGCGACGCATGCGCCTAAGGCAAGGTGAGGTGCGCTGCTCACTCACGCACGAGGGCGGCGGGGCAAGGGCCAGGCTAGTCCCTCGCGACTCCACGTCCCGACGACAGGAGCCGGCACGGCATTCAAAGTGCAAGGCCCGGTGCGCGTGGGTGAGCGGTGTGGCAGTGCGCATGCGCCTCAAGCAGCCGCCGGTAGACAGCCGGGGGGTGCAGCGCCGCCGCGTGCAGCTCGAGCAGGCCTACGCAGTGCTCCTCCATGCCGCATCATGCATGGCTCCAGCCCCCCCTCGTACGTGGTGAGAGCGCGGGTGCACCAGAGTGTCCAACAGCGGCGCGCAGCCGCGCCGTGAGCGCGTCGAACTCGCTGGCGGTGGCGGCGGCGTCCGGAGACGCCGGAGGCGTCCCCTCCCACTCCACGAGCAGCGCGGGACGGCCATCGAAGCCGTGGATCGGCAGCAGGAACGCGACGCGCTGCGAGGTCGACAGGTCGCCGCACGCCACCAGCGCGGCTGAGCCGTCGCGGAGCGCATCGAGGTGCGCGGACTCCGACGCCGACGTGTGGATCCACAGCCGCCTCGCGCAGGGCAGCGAGGCGGGGCCTGCGGCGGCGTAGACGCCCTGCATCTCCCCGCCAGCCCGCACTGCGCACCAGAGCGACGGCGCATCGGCGTGCGCCAGCAGACGCGGCGAGATAAAGTCGGTGGTGACACTCGCGACTCGCGCCATCACGTCAGCGAATAGCGACTGCTGCTCGGCGGCTAGCGCAACGTCGCGCGCGCCCTGCGCCTCGAGGCGTGGCTGAGCGGAGAGCATGGCTGTGTCGACACTCGAACTGAGCGGCAAGGTGAAGAATTCAACAAAAAAGAATTTTACAACCAAACTCCCTCGCACAACACTGGGCACAGGACTGTGCAAAAAAGAACTCTCTCTCAGCGACAAGGTGAAGAATTCTTAGGCACACGCCTCTCTCAAGAAAACGCAGTAATTCAGGACCGGCCGGGGCCTCCCCGACTAACCGCCTCTCCGCCTCTTCGGCCGCCGCGATCACGCGGGCGAGCAGTGTGCTCGTAGCTCGCGCGCCTTGCTCCGCCTAGTACATAGTTGGGCGGGCGGTCTCTCGGAGAACCCTTCTTTTTCCTGGGTCCTGGGTGACCGCTTCGCGTCCCGTCTAAAAAAGAAAAAAAAGTGCGCGTTCGACGGAAACTCGGTCGGCTCTTGGCATCGCTTGGCATCTTCACCCTTGGCCCTTGCCGTCTACGCCATGCCCAAGCTCATCAGCTGTTCAGCTCCGCGGAGAAGGCGGCCGCGATTCGAGTGGGCACGCCTCCGAGCTCGGACGACTACCCAGACGACGCCGACGGTTGGCACGACGCGCAGAACGACTGGCTCGAGCGCTGGAAGCCGGGAACCGCGCTGCCCGAGCCGGCCGACAGGAAGCGGCGTACCGAGTGGAACAAGCTCACCAAGCAGCACGAGCGCCACCTCAAGGCCGCCGAGGACGAGCCGCCCGGCGACGTGACGATGACGGACCAAGACCTCCTGGCCGAGGCGGACGTCACTGCCGCGGACATCGTGACCTCTCTCTCGTACCAGCTGAACGAGGAGCCCCAGTTCGGCTTCGATCTGACGGTCGACCTCGCGCGCATCGTCTTCGACTTCGTCTGCCCCGACAACCACCACCCAAGGTGGCTGCTCGCCTGCAAGCTCGTGTGCAAGAGCTGGCGGCGGATCGTCGCGCACTACGACGAAAAGTGGCAGCGAATCCTGCTCGCGCACTGCCCGGCGGCGCTTGCCCTTCCCAGCGGGTACGACGACGCGCACACCCGCTGCCCGCTTCGGCTGGCGGCGGTCATCTGGCCACCACAGAGCGAGCAGGTCCACGTGCGGAAGCTGCGCGCCGACAACTTTGAGGTTGTGGTTGCGCTCCTCTCGGGCCGAGGGGGCGAGGCGCCCAAGGTCGAGTGGTCGCAGGTGCTCCAGCTGGACGAAGCGGCGCCCATCGACTACCCCGCCCCTGGGGGGCCCGAGCCGCCGCAAGGGACCGGCTTCCAGTGGGGCGGCCTCGAGCTGCCCCTGCTGGACGGCTCTGCGCCCAAGACGGTGGAGGAGCTCAAGGCCGCCGTCGAAGCCATTCACGCCGACTCGGCTCGCTTCGGAAGACTCGGCTGCGACCGGACGCTCAGCGTGATACTGAGGCGCAAGAGCGACGATAAGATCGTGATGTGCGGCCCGCCTGCTCGGTTTGCCTTCCAGGGTTGCAAGCTCATCCTCCCGCCGCCGATTCCGCCGCCGCAGGTTTGCTCTCACCCGCGGCCCACGTTCGCCCCACGCGTCCGCCCCGTTCCCCCGCCGACACTGCCGCCACGCATGCATGACCCGCACCGCGCCTGTTGGCAGGGCTGGGACGCGCCGACGATGTACTTTTACCCGGAAAGGCTGCCCATGGTCCTACAGACCTCGTCCGGGGATGGGGGCCCGACACCCAACCCCACCTACCCGAGGGTGGTGATCAAGCCCGCGCTCAGCCCGGCGATGGAGAGCGGCGAGGTCAAGTGGTGCTTCGCCCTCGAGCTCGCGGCCATCGGGGACGAGGACGAGCTCAACTCCTACCGTCCGAACCTCGACGTCAATCCCTTCTGGCAAATGGGAGTGAACCTGATCTACCAGCGCGAGGACTGGGACGACGCGGAGATGCACACGGTCGCCGAGGCGCTGGCGATCGCAGACTGGAAGTGAATGTACTGCGAGACGAGAGATGTGTGCATGGCCGGACCGCCGAGCGCGGCGCAGTTGGAGGACGCTGCTGACGACGAGCGCAGAGCGCTGGTGCCTGGTCAGAATCCGCTATGGCCTATGGCGGCGGCACGCCACGAGCTGGCACGTGGCACCTGGCAGCTGCGGCCGTGCCGCCGTGTTACTCTCAGCGCATAGCGGCGAGGCGCGGGGGAGCCGGGACCGTCTGTGGCGAAGTGCGGGTCGAGGGTCGTGTCCCCTCCGATTTTCCACGCGTCATCCGTCATATTTGACTTGTTTGACATACGGTAATCTCACGGGCCAGAGACACCCTCACCTACAGCGAGTGTGGAGTGAGCTTCAATGCCAACACAAGCAACAAATTGAACCCATGTGCCTCCTCTAACCACTGAGGTCTAACACGTCCTGGTCACGAGCTCACGACCCACCACGCACCAGCCCCTCGCCCCAGCATCGACCGCCCCCATGTGTGCCATGCGCCCCCCGCCCTGCAGCTACGGCTTTACACCGCGGCCGTGCTGTGATGCCGCGGCCGTGCGGGACTGCTGCGACGCCCAATGCGAGCGGCCTCTTAAGGCCGCTGGCAAGGGCCAAACACACCTGCCCCCCCCCCCCCCTTTATTTCAGC